GTGGTTGGGGAGGGGGGTGATTTTGTCGGCCAGGGTCGGGGGTTGGGGAGGGGGGTGACTTTGTCAGCCAGGGTCGGGGGTTGGGAAGGGGAAGGGGGTGATATACCGCTCCCAGTAGGTGGGTGGGTCAGTGCTCCAAACGTTCTGAGGGGCTCCAAGAACTCGTGGCGCGGCCAGCCATGAAGGTGGAAGAACGGTCAGTTTCAACAATCGTCTAGCCATGTGGCATTCTGTTTACACTGTTTTTGGTTCGTGACGGCCTTAGCAGTAAAAATAGCCTCTTCCATTTGTTACAAAAGCTTACGGTAGGTTTCCCAAATGGTATCATGTATCAAGCGATGAAGTTGACGCGTCCCGGGGATATTGTCATTTCGATGCTAGATTAAGTCGTGATGTCAACGCATGGTGTCAACAGATGATTCGCACGATTGCTGTGCTGTTTGAGAGGACATGTACGCTTGCTATTTTGTTTTCTATCTTTGATGAAGCAGTTTATTGCCTGGCTTGATATAATCCAGGCACAATTCATAGCGAAGAACAATGTCTGACCAGTTCACCGATATGGTTCCACGGAAAATGGCCGAATGGTATTGAGCCGACTGTTATTTCGCCAAATATGAAAAAGCCGGGTGCGCTTTGCTGCCATATGAAAGAGACAAACTGATAAAAGGCGAAATTTGCATTGATGCTATGCCTTTTTGAGTTTGTGTGAATTAACGAAATGTTTTGTTTTTTGAGGACGTAAAATTGACAAAATGTGAATGAGTCGAATGCGTGCTACCCGGAAACTATGTAACTGAAATGTGATTAGCCGGATGCAAATATGCCGAAATTAGATCTATGTTAATGGCAATAAGAAGAATGGAAATTCACCGAATGGCCAGTGAAACGCATGGCTCTTGTTCAGATGTGAAATTGACGAACGGTAGTTTCAGGAATGCAGATTCGCCCAAACCCCATATTTGTCTAGGAAACGGAATGGTTCATTGCAAGTTATCTGAAGTGACAACCCCGCAGACCGTAAGAGATTGTTCTTAACTAACGTTCCGTATTGATGGGGAGGTGTGTGGTGGAGCGTCACCAATACTGTTGAGGACATAGTATCCATGGGAACCCGTGCAACAATGATGAATGAGTGACACGTGTGCCATTAAATTTATGAAATACGAGTTACGTGGGCTATGCAAATATGCATATGGACGGGCACTAAAGGCGTTCATCAATGCCTAAACAGAACAAGATGGACGAACCCCCTTGGCTACCAGACCCGTAACGGATATAGCGATGGTGCAATTGATGATGATGATATGACAATGATAGCAGTTATGCGTTCAACGATGCAATCAATAGCCATGAAGCCTGAGGAAGTCTGTAAGCCATGTAATATAGCCCTGAAGTCTAAGGAAACCTATCGCATCTGAGGGACAGCCCAAGGAACACAACGGTATCCACTCTGTACCCATCAGGTCAACCAGCTTGAGAATAAGTCGGTTGTCCGGCTAGAAGAGACCGGTTTTGTGGCCAGGCAGACCTACATTTCGACGCGTAAGCAAGCGACTAAATAACATTCGTTTAATGAGCGTTTGACTAATAGAAATATAAATGAGCATTTTACTAATAGAAACTATAGATCCATGTATGTATGTATGTAAAGCCTCCATAGGGCAATCCACAATGGAGCGTGGCTATCACACCCCGGTGTCAAGTGTACAGGACATAAAACATTCAGGTACGAGGGCATATAATACAGCGACACCCATTCGCCGGCTACCAGCAGCATTACCGCTCAACAGGTGTGCTCTCACCGCGCGCACGAGACGCTGCCGTGTCAGTTATGTGAGGTAAGCTGGCAATGCAGTATACAATGCTGATGCGTGGTGCCCGAAGCGTCTCCTACCGGCCTCAGTTCTCGGCCTAGGGAGGTATCGGAACCCATCCGGCTGAGTGCGTCACACACGTGCGTCGCAGTTTAACACAAATATAGGCCTCAGCACATTAGGCTCGCCGTGTAGCGTCACCTTATGAGCCAGGGTCTCTGGATCACTTGGAGTTCTCGAAGCGACATCCATTTAAATGTCTCACGCAGGTCAGATACATGGCCACATCTACATCGGCCAACAATCACTCTGGCAGCAGAGCTTAGGATCTTTTATATTTTTCCAAGTTTTTCTGTGAGCTATTGCCATAAACCGTGAGGCGGGACCTGATCCGCGTGAGCACTGATGTTGGCACTAGAGTTTCTATGACGTCATCGGGAAGGCAGAGCCACGCATGGGACAAGCCTGTCAGCATCCCCATGCGCAGGCCGCTGAGCGAGGACGCGTGTGAATTCCAGGACAGGGCGCTGTCAAAGACAATACCCAGAGTCCACGCCTCCGCACACGGTGGCAGCTAAGTGCCACGAAAAGTTAAGGTGAAGTTCGGAATGATGCGTAAAGTTTGATCACTGCTGACAGTGATAAGTTGTATTTCGTTTGCATTCGCCTTAAGGGCATACGGGCGGAACCAGAACGTAAGTTACGTAAGTGATGTTTTCATGCGGTAGATGAGTCTATGAGGTCGTTCTTCGGACCGCTCAATAAAACCTGGGTGTTACCAGCATACTGAAAAACATGAAAGCATGTGCGCTTTCTACGTGCAAGAGCAGGTGATTTGAGAAAAAAGTATACTAATAAGGCAAGTGATAAGACATTCGACATTTGATTGATATGAACTCTTTTTTGTAAATTAGCGCCTAGCTGCAGAATATTTTTAGAGCATTGTAGCATTGGTCTACAAAACATTTCGGCTAATTAATATTTGACTTGAGCATTTCGGCACATTAGCAGGCGACCAAAGAACACCTCGGCAATCAACTTTGAACCAAAGGTCAATTGGAGAACTAGCCATCCGACAAAAGAACATTTCCACAATTTAGCACAGGACTGAACAACGTTTCTGCAAATTAGCACGCAGTTGACATGCATTTTCAAGTATCACCGTGCTCTAAGTTTGACGCGTCGGCAAAAGGAATATAAGTAGATCACCGTTCGAATGTGAACATTTCGCATTTTTGGTGCGTGGAAGAATATACAGAGACATAATAACATTAAACTAAATACATTCGGATAAAACACATGCGGCTTGCTGTATTCGGGAAAAGATTTACGGCCAAGTGTATGTCGGTTATTCGTCTGGCTACCGCAGCTAACAGGAAACTTTGGTAAACGGAACACGCTGATTGGTTACCAGCTTTTCCTTATATTTGTGGATGCGTTTCTGCACCATCACGTACCCAGCGCACATCCAGTACAATCATGTATTCTGCACATATCATGTGCATCAAAGTACAGCACGCACCCCTTGTAGCTAAAAAAAGTGGATCTATGATTGCACTTTTGGTAAATTGCTGCTCACATTGCTGAATGAGCGGCTAAAATCCCATCTTTTCTACCGGCCAGCATCCACCCATCGCTGAGCGTCCTGTCTTGGGCCGATAACCGGGGCACGCCACGCGCGCCGACGTACCCGGCCGCACTGACGGAGCCGGTCGCGACGCGACGGAGAGCTGCGAAGGTCACATCCGCTTCCTCGTGGATCCCCGGGCGCGCAGAAGACCTTGAACCAGGTGCTCTCAAGGCCTCTCGTCTCGCGCCAGTGGACGTAAACAGCTCCGCTGTCGCTCCCCTCGCCTTCGCTCTGTGACCGCTGTTTTGAGGTGAAGCTCGGCGTGGGACGGACGGGGGTGCCATCGGACGGGTCGCCCCGGGCGCTGCAGTACGGTCCCGTCAGGTCCGGCAGACTGCGGGGCAGGGCAGACAGGCAGCACGGCCCCGTCAGGTCCGGCAGACTGCGGAGCAGGGCAGACAGGCAGCACGGCCCCGTCAGGTCCGGCAGACTGCGGAACATTACGCCCCCGTCAGGTCGGGCAGACTGCGGAGCAGGGCAGACAGGCAGCACGGCCCCGCCAGGTCCGGCAGACTGCGGAACATTACGCCCCCGTCAGGTCCGGCAGACTGCGGGGCAGGGCAGACAGGCAGCACGGCCCCGTCAGGTCCGGCAGACTGCGGAACACTACGCCCCCGTCAGGTCGGGCAGACTGCGGAGCAGGGCAGACAGGCAGCACGGCCCCGCCAGGTCCGGCAGACTGCGGAACATTACGCCCCCGTCAGGTCGGGCAGACTGCGGGGCAGGGCAGACAGGCAGCACGGCCCCGTCAGGTCCGGCAGACTGCGGAACACTACGCCCCCGTCAGGTCGGGCAGACTGCGGAGCAGGGCAGACAGGCAGCACGGCCCCGTCAGGTCCGGCAGACTGCGGAACATTACGCCCCCGTCAGGTCGGGCAGACTGCGGAGCAGGGCAGACAGGCAGCACGGCCCCGTCAGGTCCGGCAGACTGCGGGGCGGGGCAGACGGGCAGGAGGCGCTCCACTCTCAGCTGAGTGGGTGCGTCACCACTCGCCGTGCTCTGGACGCAGGACGGCTGCCGTAACAGCAAACAGCCGCGGCGAGCTGAGTCGTCTCTGCCGCCCGCCACACCCGTCCGGTATGCAGAGTACAATGCCTGTCACGTACGACTCAGCTCACGGCTTATCGTGACGGGGTTGCGTCACCTCGGGGCCACGTGGCCCGTGACTTGACAGCCTCTCGCCGCCGGCTATCGCACTCGTCCCCACTGACTTGCACGCCCGCGTTCCGGTCCGGTGCGCCTTAGACGCTCCCACTTGTCAAGAAGTTCAGCGCATGAGAGTCGCCTGATGTTGTCCTGCTGCGTTTATCAGCTGACTGTCGCTGTCATGCGGAGCGTGATGTCCGAGTGGTGTTGCTCTGTAGCTGGCGTGCCGCAGCCGACAGCCGACTTCGCTGTCATTTGGCAGCCGACTTGTGGTGCTGTGTCAGTGCCGCTGTTGACAGCTGAGTAGTGCTGCTCAGCAGTCTGAGAGCAGACTGCCGTTGATCTCCGCAGTCTGACAGCCACCTGCCGTTGCTCGTGACATCCAACAGCACGTCCTTTGTTTCAGAAATTTTCGCGGGTGTTCCTAGACTACCTCAAGGACACATTGGGCGAGACCTACACATCAGACTCGGCCGAAGCCTTCACGAAGCTGATGGGGGTGTTCAACAAGAAGATGAGCCTCCACCTGGAGCAGTAGACGGAGGAGTCGACGCGCTCAGCAGTCACCGCAGTCATCGCGAACGCGAACGCCATCGCGAACCCACTCGAACGCGGTCGCGCCGGTCGCACCAGGATCGCCCCCACCTCTGCCGGCCCACGCGGGTTCTCGACCGGCCCGCCGGGGTCCTCGACTGGTCCTCTGAGCCGCTGAGCGGTCCAGCAGGACAGCCGGCACGGGCGCCCGCTCCGAGAGCGCTGCAGCTCCCATGCGTACCCGCTCCCAGCCGGAGCTGCTGAGCTAGTTTGAGCAGAGCTGAGCCGAGCGGGCTCAGATGGCTCCTGCATGCAGCTCGCCGCCAGACGCCGCCGCCACTGATGCGCGGGCGTTTGGAAGCTCAATACTGGTACTGACGTCATTATCTGTATACCGCTTTGAATACACTGTATGCAAATGACTCGTAATGGTTTTTAATTCAAGCAAAGGTCGGACGAGGAGGATCGCTACTCGGAATCAGGTGTTGTTGCTCCCATCAGGCGTGTTCTGGTCTTTATTTGCTCCAGCGCGGTTGCCGTGTTGCACAATGTCCATGCCGCACCCTTCCATTTCTGCAATCTCATAGTTGCCTGAACGCTGATCTCATACCAGACTTCAAACTCACTGGAACGTTCGACACGATGGGCATGTGTCATTGTGTAAGTAACGCAACCCTCTGTACTGAACGGCATCTTAACTGGTCGTTGATTAATTCACGCTCGGGTGGCCGGACCCTTCACTCGGGTGGGGGTCAGTTTGACACCCCACCCTGAGATCTCGGGAATTAAGAAATTTAGAAACACCAAATTTACAGAGTGTCTTGACCTGTACGTCGACTTACTTAGGTCAAAGTTTCAAGTTCCTAGGTCATGACCTTCAGGTTGCAAGGTCAAACAAGGTCAATTCTAGGTTGGTCTCCAAAGTGCCCCCAGAACCTAGGTAACTGTTTCTAAGCAAAAAGCCAAAGGCTCATTTGGGGTCAGTGACCTTGTTTGACCTTTTGAAGGTCATGGTGACCAAAATCATACAAGACTGCGCTGAGTTTTGCATTTGAATAAGTGACGAAGATTAACGCTAGGCAGTATGTTGCTAAAACAAAATGTCGACCCGGGTCATCTTAGGTCAATGACCTTTTCAGACCTCCAAGAGGTCAATGGAAGATGTATAATGCGGTCCCTGTTGTCAATGAATTCGAAATGAGCACCACAAACTATCCCACACAGCAAGCCCTAGAGTAATAGATCAGGTTGGTTGTGATCTTGGTCTGACCTTCATACCTGACCTTAGGTCAACGTAACTTGCTTATTCAATATTTGTTGTGCCTAAGAAAGCATTTCAGTGATGTATGGCTTCGTCAAACACTCCGTTATTGTATCAGATTGGACGATCCGTTAGAACTTGTCCTCGTTGAAACCATGGCCTGACTTTGACCTGCCATAGGTCAGCGACCTTACAAGGTACGTCTAAATTTTTTATGTCAAGCGATCCGGTATCTAACTGTCTACAGCTATGCAGCATTTGGCGCTGCTACGCCGCGCCGTTCTAAAACCATTCTGGAAAAACCTTCGGGAAGGGCCAATTTGATTCCCGCCCCAGCGCGTGTTAAGGAGAGTGTTCAGAAAATATATGGGGTTTAGAACTGAAAAAGCCATTTTGAAGGTCTTTCGGTGCTGCTAAAAATCTTGCCCTTCTTAGGACCTAGGCTTTTAGATTCTGAGATACGCGCCCGCGAAAATCGGGGAGAGTATTTCAAAGTCACATTGGCATTCATGACGTCATAGTAATATCCTTCAAATCTTGCCATTCCATAAGCCATGCGACGATCAAACCAAAAAAGATATAAGTGTCGAAGCGTTCATATCTGCCGTTCGTGAACGAGACTACAATTGGGTCTCCAATTGTCAAATGGCTCTCAATCAATGTTGTGTAGGGTACGATGGCGTAATGAAACAGTAGCGCATTGAGGAGCATATTTACTAGACAGGAAATTGTGCTGTCTTGAACAGTCTGTTCCACTTTGAAAAGTATACCAATATTTACCAGTGAGCTTTATTTCATAATATGTGATGCTCGCTTCAACATCTTCAAATGTGAAAGATTCCCCTCAAGTTGAAGCTATTCATAGTGTCACTACAATGTACTGGACGGGTCCACAGGAGTCAGCGCTGATGCCACGCATATCCGAGGCACTGCAGTCTATCAAGCCCGGCCTATCTTTGAACATGGCTGTTTTGGAGCCTGTGCCATTCAAAGTGCCGAAATCAGTTCAGAGACGAAACTACGAAATCAAGCACTCATCGATGTCCGAAGAAGACAACGTCAATTCAGGGACAGAGTGCCGAGAACGACCAAGGCGTAATCGAACATGGGTGATCAAAACCACCGAAACTTAGAGCGAGCGCAGCTTTCAAACCCGAGTATCTGAGCCGCACTGGCTTGTCGAGAGCGGCGAACGTAATCATCGCACCGCAAGCGAGCGTGGCCACAATCAGTGCACGTGATGGTAACAATCATCGAGCGCAGATGGCGATCGCATTTGTTGAGCAGGAGTGATGATATCGATAATCGAACGTAGACAACTGCCACGTGTGCGGGACTTTGCCTCTTATGTTCCGCATATTTGTTAGAGCCTGCAAACGGCTTTCGAAAAATAGCTGTAACGTCTTCGTTGAAATAGGTCATCAATCAAATGGATTTCAACATTCAGTGATGTCCAAGCCTGACACCTGCTGCAGGTGGATGGTGTTTTTCTATGAACATAAAAAACAGCTCGAGTAAAACGGCATGCGATGAGGAGAGCGCAACACTCGACGATGTATGCGTTTAGCGTATTTCGAGGCAGATCTCGATTTTTTAGTGTATCAGAGGTCAGTAACGAACTGAACCAGCCGACACCCAGTAACAAATAATCATGGGATTGAGCATATGAGCAGAACTGAGTAGAAATCAAACGATGAAAGCCAGAGAGCAGAAGCTTAATCAGTAGTGGTGTTTGGAGAAACATGCAAACAAAGCATTATCATCGGTATATCCACAAAGTATCGCCGGCTTCAGTGGTGGCAAGCTTGCCGACGCGTTTAAATGCCCTGACACGGTTGATGAGTGCGGTGACACATAAAGCATTCCTTGGTTTGTGAAGCCTCCTGAGAGGAGAGGCCGCACTGTCGCCAAGGCCGCTTGAATCAGTCGCTGATTTGTCTTCCGACAAACAAACGAGCGCCGACCATACGTCAGCGTTTCTGGGGGACAGTGCAGCCAATTGTCGAAATGAAGACCATCCACAGCAATTGAACTTCAGGGGGCCTCCGCCTCGAACACTTCGAGACGATTACACCGCCATTTGAAGCAACAAACGGTGTTTTGTTCCAATGCAGTCGGCGCGTCAGAGGTCGTTGGACGCGGCGGGTCAGAGGTCGGCCGTCACCAGGAGCAGGTTCGGCCCGGGACGTGACCACGGCCGCGGCGGCGGTGACGGCACGGCCCTCTGCAGGCCGGGCTGCAGTGCCCCGCCTGCACGCGCCGCGGCGGCGACCGACGTCTTCCGCCGGCCTGCGCAGCGCCCCCGGACGTGAACTGGCGCCTTCAGCTGAAGACGACCAGGTAGCGACCGATGCCGGGCGGCTTCAGCTGAAGACAGCAGCCAAGTAGCGACCGATGTCGGGCGCCTTCAGCTGAAGACAGCCGGGCAGCGACGGGTACCGGGTGCCTTCAGCTGAAGACAGGCAGGCAGCGACGGGTACCGGGCACCTTCAGCTGAAGACAGTCAGGCAGCGGCCGATGCCGGACGCCTTCAGCTGAAGACAGCCAGGCAGCGACGGGTACCGGGCGCCTTCAGCTAAGGACAGCCAGGTAGCGACGGGTACCGGGCACCTTCAGCTGAAGACAGCCAGGTAGCGACTGATGCCGGGCGCCTTCAGCTGAAGACAGCCAGGTAGCGACCGATGCCGGGCGCCTTCAGTTGAAGACAGCCAGGCAGCGACCGATGCCGGGCACCTTCAGCTGAAGACAGCCAGGTAACGACCGATGCCGGACGCCTTCAGCTGAAGACAGCCAGGCAGCGACGGGTACCGGGCACCTTCAGCTGAAGACAGCCAGGTAGCGACGGGTACCGGGTGCCTTCAGCTGAAGACAGTCAGGCAGCGACCGATGCCGGACGCCTTCAGCTGAAGACAGCCAGGCAGCGACGGGTACCGGGCGCCTTCAGCTAAGGACAGCCAGGCAGCGACGGGTACCGGGCGCAACGGAAACATTCAGATCAAATCTGCTGTGCATTCTCATCGGATCAGAGCTGCTGTGCATACTCAGCGGGTCAGAGCTGCTGTGCATACTCAGCGTGGGTGAGACTCTATGTGATGGTTGCAATGCATGCGGGGTGTTGTCACGTATTTTGCCGCAGTTTTGTAGTTTCTGGCCCTTGCGAGCATTAGTACCGTCGGAGATGTCTAGTAAATACAATATTTGCGAGTGCAGTGACGCATACCAATGCGCGGTGAGCACTGTCAGTTCTCCCACCACGACACACACGAGTCGCCCGCGGAACAGCGGCAGTCGTCATCACGGGCGTCTGATCGTCATGACCGCCGAAAGCTTACTGCTGTCCAGCGAGCTCAAGGAAACGGCTTCGCAGTCCAGAACGGACAGGCCCAGTCTAGGTTAGTGCGGTAACCCAGCTTTTACCAGGGGTATAATTTCACAAAATGAGTTGGAAAATTTAAAAAATAGCATTGAGGTCTGAAAAAATGACGAAACTGACCTCTAAGATACCCAACAACGGGTTCTCAACTCTCTGACCCTTTATTTTTTTTCGAAGTTTGGGGCCAGAGCCCAAGATGGGGAGGATGGCTGAAGTTCCCCGTCCCCAAATTGATAGGAAACCCCACCTTTGGCTTTCACCACCGGAGGAGAGTAGCTAAAATCCCGTTTATAAACGCAAGTTGCCAGACCATCCCATACTTGTGTTGTACATATTGTAAATCCGCCTGCACTGAGGTTGCTTTTGTTGAATTTTGAACAGCCTCCAAACACCAAACCCAACTCCATTTCGCAGTTGACATTCAGCTAACCTGCGCACAGTTAACTAGCAAATGCTTGATAACGAGAAACTACGAACTAAGCGACACTGTCGAGCTTTGCCACAGTTTGGTCAGATATCTCCTGTCGCTGGTCTCCGCAGCACAAGATCGGCCCTTGGGCTGCGCTGGCTTCATTTGCGTCACACCCACCGTCCAAGACGAAGCCAGTGCTCAGGGCCTTTACACCAGCCTCATACCACAAACCATCCCAGCCTTGCGGACTGGTCGATATCCCTGCCCAGTCGTTCACAACGCTGAGAACTAGTGGATTGTTAGAAGGATTGAGTCCACAAAAACTGACATTTATTTCCTCGAACAAAAGACATCGTTCCAAGAAGCAGCCTCCAATCCCACCAAACTCAAATATATCAAATTTTTACCCGTTTGCTCTTTCTCCTCGCCCTAAGCGCACTTAAACGGCGTCATAATGCAGGCACAACAGTGTCATCTAATTATCACAGAGTCAGAACGGATTCCTATGAGAGAGACCAATATGTCAACGGAGTATGTCAGAGCTTCCCGAACATTTCAAGCACGTACACGGTTTGACCACAGGCCCACCCAATCCTTCACCCTCATGCACGTCCACGATTTGACCACAGGACCAATTTTTCGTTTTTAAGGATTATCTGCAAGACATCATTCCAGTAGCGTATTTCGCAAAATGCGTTGGGAGAAACGGTGAGCGCCGAACGAAATGGCTCAGCCTACCCCGAAAACAGCTCAAGAAACGGAATAAAAATGGTTCCTCCCCGCATTTGGCGGACGTTTCCCCAACGTTTGGGCGGAGCTGGAGCGAGAGTAAGAGGTCTGAAGCTCCCAAGTGAAGAAAAAACTACACCCCTATATCCATCCTTTCGTCGGTTTTCTTGTTTTACGCTGTGATGATCTTACAGGCACCTGGCCGCATGGACGCGCCCTGATGGTGGGTCATCACGGCAGCGGATTTGTTTGTAAGGTCACGGCGAACACAAAGCGCAAGAGTGACAATATTCCACATGGTCGGAATCTGTGAGGACCAAAGCAGTGCTATCCCTTAACGCTCTCCTAACGCCAAAACACTATCCCCTGTCTCGATGTTTGAATCGAGCAAATATTGTATTATTCATGTTAACTTACCGACTGATGGACCGGCCGCTTTGAGTCCCTCAATGTGCCGGAAGCTGGATGTGCTGTCAGACCAGCTGGATGTGCTCTCGGACCGGCTGTCGTTACGAGCCATAAGGTTGAGTCAAATCGTTGAGTCCTCCGCGGGCGGGGCGCGGCCTAAACGGGCCGCACCAACGGCACGGATTGGGCGGGGCGGGCGCGCCCCGCACCGACAGCGAATGACTGGGGTTCGGACTAGCCGAGCCTAGGTCAGGGAAGGGTGGGTCAGGGCGAACCACATCAGTTAATGGCCTCGTGCTATCGCTCGCGGTCCGTGGGAGTTGGTTCATGGGCAGTAAATTCGGTGTTATCGAGAGCCGTGATCTGATACGTGACATCATGCATACCATGGGCACGGGGCACGAATGAATGACCAGTGATTGATGCACGATGACACACTTGCGCGAATTATATTGGTTAAGCCAGGAATGTTACAAGCACGCATATTTCAAAGCGTATGTCGCAGTCGGCATTGCGTAATTAAGAGTCATCCAAAAATATGAGGCATGCCACATTTTTAGCACTGAATATTTATGCTGGGTATTTGAGCACTGAGTATTTGCCCAGCCAGCATTCCCAAATAAAACCCACATGGGTTAAAAGTGGGGCAACTGGGCTAATGTGGGCAGTGGACTACAGGTGGGCTTTGAACTGGGCTCCGGCTGGGTCCCACGTGGGGTGCCCACATTATTTCATAGTTCCGCGTGCACCAGAACTGTTCGTGTCTTGTACTGCTCCGTCGGAATTTATCATGTCAAGAAGAAATAGTCCACCAGGAGGGAATGTTTGCATTGGTGGGATCCATGTGGGCAAGCTGGGTTCATGCCAACATGGGCTGCCGGTGGGCTCGTATCTAGGCTTAATCTGGGGTCCAGATGGGCTGCCCATACGCTACATGCGCAACCAAGTTGCCACACACACAATATTGATGTGTATACCAATCCTTTTATTGTCTGGGTTTTACCATACCGTGTACAATTATTATAAAACATGGGATTGCCGCCTGGACTGGGGTCCATATGGGCTGACCACGGGCTACCTGGGCTCATTCCCATGTAGGTCGCGGTTGGGCTGGTATGTGGGCTCCATCTGGTACCCAGATGGGTTTCCCATACGCCACTATATTTGGCGCAGGTGCATTAGGCTTGTTACCGTGTGCTGCCGCGGTGGATTTTTCCTTATCATGTAGAAATGGGTACATAACAAAGGAGAACAGCATGGGTTGGGTCTCATATGAGATGTATATGGGCAAGTTGGGCTGATGTCAACATGGGCCGCAAATGGGCCAGTCTTTGGACTCCATTTTGGACCCAGATGGGCTGCCCATATGTTACGTACGCGATAAGGCTACAATACACACAATTATGTGTATATCAATTAAATTTATTGTTTTAAGGTTTTACCATATCGTGTACAACTATTTTACATGTTCCACTTCCATACCAACGTCCATGTAGATTGTGGGTGGGCTGGTATTTGAGCTCCATCTGGAACCCAGATGGGCAGCCCATACGCTACCATATTTGGTACAGGTGCATTAGGTCTGCTACCTTGTGCTCCTACGTTGGATTTTTTCTTATCGTGCACAAATGGGTACATGACAAAGCAGAGTAGCACGAGTTGGGGTCCATATGGATGCATGTGGGCGGGTCGGGCTCATGTAATCATGGGCCGCTGGTGGGCTGGTCTTCGGGCTTCACGTTGGACTCAGATGGGCTGCCCATATGCTGACATCTCTTACACCAGTTCATCAGTTTTCGCATTGCTCACCATGGTTGGATATTTTCTGATTGTGTACAAGCTAGTTTGCAACAAGGGCGAGCGATATAGACTCAGATCCAAACGGGTCCGCAGGTGGGCAAGCTGGCCTACATGCCAGCATGGGATGCAAGCGGGCTAGTGCCTCGGCCCCACTTGGGACCCAGATTGGCTGCCCATATGCTATCATATTGACAATGTGCGTAATAATTTTCGTACCGTGGGCTCCCTGGTTCGGTTTTACCATGCCACGTACTAATAAGAGGGACTGCTGGCATGGATCTCATCCTCATGAACCGCGCGTGGGCGAACCTAGCTCAGGTCAACATTGACCGATTCACTGTCATGTCACTTGAGGCAGTCGGCATGCTCCGTGTTGGAAGTTTGTGCGCTAAGGGAATGGATTGATTTATTTCACTCTACTTACGTTTTACCCGTCGATTGATCATTGCTCGCGTTTGGAGCTCCCCGATAACAACGGACGTCCTGCTGACCGGTCGCCCGCTGGGATTTCGGCCGCGGTGGGTGGGGTTTCGCATGACCGGCTCGCTGGCCGGCTCATATGCGCCCTCTTCAGGGGCGCGGAAGTGCCAGTCCGCGGGACAGCTGGCTAGGCGAGCCAGGTGGGCCGGCAGCACCGAGCAGACCGCTCACCCACTGTCTTCTATATTCTTGGTCAGAGTTTCTGGCGATCGCACGTAACTGACCAGATGCAGTTTCTGTGAGCTGCTTGGAACTCAAGGAGCACAGGCTCAGAGGGTCATGCTTGGACTTATCGACAGCTTTAGTGCCAGAAGTCCGACATGGGCGACTCGACGCAATTATTTCACTTTTTGAAGCTAATATTCCAGTTCCCAACCGTCTGTTAAGACTTTCAGCGTGTGGAGAGTTGTTGTCTTTCCATGGTGTCGGTGGTTGGATGGTGCGATTGGCTAGTCGACTCTTGACAGTATTCGATTGGGCGCTGTGTCTCCTCAACGTAATAATCTTGGAACCAGTGCTGCCAGCTGACAAAGGATGCCTGATCATTTCGTTCCTTACGATTTAGCTGAACTACCAGCTTTTTTATAAGCTAACAGATTTTTTGCATGCAACGGTATTTGTAAGCCAGGAGAGTATTCGGATACCGCATCGTATTGCGTCGTTTCACCTTCGTCCCACATTCGCAGTTTTTTCATGAAGATGGGGAGCAGTCGATGTGACGCCGCGAAAAATGCAGCGAATTGACCCCGACTCTCTGGACCTCAGCGCACTGGCCAATATCACGATTGGTAGCCAGTCTGATGTATCTTGGTTCATATTTTACCTCTCTAGGACAGATCAAATGTCCATTTTTCCTGGGAACGACGTTTTTCAGCTTTGCATGCGCATGTTTGAGTAACAATGCAGCTTAACAGCATACAAGTTACATGAACGTTGTTTTGTTTAAATTTCACTACAATCATATATATATATATATATATATATATATATATATATATATATATACGTTTATCGTTTATCACGTATGGAGCCATACGTTTATCACGTATGGCTCCGCTGACGGAACAGTGCTGGCCGCCGTGCGTATCGGCGGATCCGTCGGTTGCCGCCCGCCGATCACGCCGGCCGTGGATCATCATGCAATATTCCGACAAAAACTTCGCTTTTCAGAAAAAAGGCTGACAGAGAAACGTTTCTGGTGTCAAAACGCCCACGATGAATAGCAGTAGGATGGCGAAACATTCGGCGCGATTGCACGCTCCAGAGAGATATCCTCAGAAACTTCGGGGGGGGGGGGGGGGGGGGGGGTAAGGACGTCAGGAGGTGCATCGTCCTCCCCCTTGGCAGGGAGAGGGTTAAAGCATGTAATTGTGAATCCATGTGATACTTTGTGATTCTACGTACGATATGGACGCGTCGAAAAGCATTCATGGGTAGTTCTTATGCAGCATGAATCAAGGAAAAGAAAAAGGGATGATAAGCCATGGCTTGAAGCGTTTGCCACTTAAAAACTGCATGTCGTTCTGAAAGGGTGCTGGTGCATTATTACAGGCTTACAGCCGAACGTTCCACATTATCTTGCAACTAGAAGCCATTCTTTAGCAAAGTGTCCTCTGCAGATGACGCAAAGACCATTATATTTTGTTTTTAAAATCCACGAAGACAAGAGCGAAAATATATGCCATCGGTTGCCACCGCCAAACGGTTGCCTTTATTTAATTGATGGTATGTTTGTAATTCGTAGCATTCACGAACGATCCAGACCCACCAGGAATAAACGATGCTGTATTTTTCATGTACCATTCGGCAGGAGGACAGTCAGAAGCCTTTTCACAAAAGCGCTTGTGTGGTGTGTGTGTGTGTGTTGTGTGTGTGTGTGTGTGTGTGTGTGTGTGTGTGTGTGTGTGTGTGTGTGTGTGTGTGTGTGTGTGTGTGTGTGTGTGTGTGTGTGTGTGTGTGTGTGTGTGTGTGTGTGTGTGTGCGGGGGGGGAGCCGCCTAAGCCAAATCGCCGCCGAAAACATCTGTGATAATCGCTTTTCTCAAGCCTGTATTGTTTTAGACATGTTGATGTGCAATCCCTCTTCACATGGCTTTTATTCACATGTGTATTACGTTATCTACA